GGCTCAAGTGATCCTTCCACCTCAGCCTCCAATGTAGCTGGGACTATGGACACACAACATCAAACCTGGCTAATTTTTTATTTTATTTTATTTTTTTGATTGAGAAGGAGGTCTCACTTTTTACCCAAGCTTGAAGTCCTGGCTTCAAGTGATTCTTTGACTTCAGCCTCCTAAAGTCCTGAGATTACAGGTGTGAGCCACCAATTCCAGCTCAAAAATATTTTATACACAAACAGTTTATTTGATAAAATAAGAAAAAGGCAAACAAGGCAACAAAAACATGAGCAAAGAATACCACTAAAAAGCTATCCAACCTTACTAGTTATCAAGGACCTGCAAAAAATATATATTTCTTAAATATAAGATTGGCTAATAGTAAAAGATAGATTAATACCTTGTTAATGAGGATGCAAGAAAACATAGCTATATTTAGTTGATGTGAGGTTAAATTTGTAAAGCCACTGTGGAGAGCAGATTGGCAAAATCTATAAAGTGTTTGTGAATGTGAATATCTTTCTTCCCTAAATTCAAAGTATCTTCTCTGTAGACATATGTACTCATATTATATAAAGCTATTTGTACCTGAATATTCATCAAAGCATGGTTTATTACAGCTAAAAATTGCAGAAGGTAAATCAGAAGGGAAATACTTTATTTAAATGAAGTGCTCAATAAATACTTCATGTGTATATTCATTTAAATAAAATGAAGTATAGCCATACTATAAAAAACTATCAAGTCTTTAGAATGAATGTAGTAGATTCCTATGTATGGTTATGTTAATATCTCTAAAATATATTCTTAATTTAAAAAGTGTAGGAGTAGAACAATATGAATAGTGTTCCCATTTATTTTTAAAAGGAAATAAACCTGAAAATATATAGATGTGTATATGCATGTAAGTGATTGTATAAAAACCAAAAGAATTTATATTAACCATTAATGTGGCTTACCTTTTGGTAGTTGGGTAGAAATAGGAAATAGGACGTGGAAAGGAACATTTTATTCTGTGTATTTCAGATGTAATGTTAGTCTTTTACAATGTGAATGTCTTCAAATATTATTTGTACAATAATAAAATTGTTCCCTAGTTTATTCCCGAGAAGTATAATACTAAGGCACATTTTGTAAATTAAGTTCAGGCATATAAACAAGCTTATATACTAACGTATTGATAGACAGAGCAACTTCATCTGGGTTTTTACAAGATGAAAGACTGCATAGGAAAAAATAGGTGAATTCCCAATCCATAAAATTAAGACTTTAAAAGTGTGTTGCTACCATATTTAAATTTTCAATGTAAACGAGGTTTAGCTAAAAAGTCATTTACAGAGTAAAAATCTGGTGTTGCGCTATAACATCCCAAATTTTCCCTAAGAAAATAAAATTTTTATCATGAATTATGCATTTTTATTATATTTTAAAAATATTTATTCAGCTTAGTTTCACCAAAATGGCAACACATAAAATCTTAGATCATTTGTACTTTCAAAGGTTATATCATATGTGTGCATTTAAACACACACACACATATACACATTTGTGTTTGTATATAAAAACATAGGATTATGTCTGCTTTAATAATTTCTCTAACCTATAAAATGTGATAGATAGGTATAGCTTTATTTGTAACCATTTAAGCCAACACACTCAATCTGTTTCAAGATTTTATTTTGCAGCATGGACATTTTCACACAAACTCCATTGCACAGCTCCAGGGGGCACCATTCACATTACAGTCCATGTGTTTAATGGACTTGTCCATTGTACAGACTGTGCAGTCATTGGTGGAGGCCCTTTCTTGAAAGTGGTTCTGTAGCAAAATCTTACTATAATAAATATGATATATTTAGAAAGATATTCAAAGAAAATCGTAAATATGCCTAAGAGGTTACCTTGACTAGAGTCACATTTTGGCAGCCTTTCATAATCCAAAATAATACCACTTAAGGTCAATAAATATAGGAAATTCCGACCTCTCTAAATGTCAACTGTATATAATTTCATGTTCTGAGCACTTATTCCTACAGCAAAAACAAAATAAAACACTTTTTCCTTCCTTATTTCAAAACCCACACAGATTATGGGTGTTAATGACACTATACTTAAAAACTATTAACCTTGTGGCAGAAAATAACCATATAAAAACATAAATTTTGTTTTCTTTCTTTAAACTGTACATTTAGAGTGTCCTGAATAAACAAAATATGAGACTTATGTAAGCATTCACCCTTTTAAGAAAAAAAAAAGGACCAAAACAGCATTGCACATTGGATCATATTTTGGAAAGGAGGAAGGTAACTGAAGCATAGCTGTAAAGATATTTTTTTTCTTTTCGGTTTACCCTTGAGATGTGCCTATCAAAATAATCTAAACTTAGCCAGATGATGTTTTTAATCTTGAAAAAGGCTTTTTTCTTGTTGGATGATCCTATTAGCAAACCGCTGGAAGGGAAAATCATACAGGGCATAATTTGTAGTTTGACCTACTCACATTGGGTGTTGCTAAAGAAAATCAATCAGAAATTGCTGTGTTAAAATAACTCTATCTGCTCTACCTGGCATGTGTGACTAACTGACTTTAGAATCTATCATTTAAAGAAAATGGTTGATGCTTGGATATATAATTTATCAAACTTTACTCCAGTCCTTCTTCTCTGAAGCACAGAAAAATAATCATCCCTCTCTAAATATAAATCTGTTAAGAGAAATTCAAGGAATCTGTCTCCAGCAAAATAATTGATAAATGGTAGGAGCATAATTTAAAGATGATTTCCATCACAGATCACATGGCATCTCAATTCCTGAGTATGTCACCCAAGTCTTTCCATCTGTTGGCCCACGAGCATCAATCTCAGCTCCTCTGTGACCAGTTCTCTGATCGAGCTAGGTTGGTCTTTTCATAATTATGACCTTTCGATTTCCCTCTGTCTTGCAGTATGATGCTGTTGTTACTGTCTGAAAAGTTATCCAACATTTTGCTGCCAACCCAGGCCTAGTATTATCCCCTCACAGCTTCATTTGACAGACACTTCTCTTACAGAAAAAAAAAAAAAAAAGTGAGGGAAGAAAGAAGGAATAAAAAGTGCTCTCTCTCACATTACCTTTTACTTTTTTATTTCCCCAACATTAAATCCTTGTTCAAAATACTGTCCTCAAACACTCTCCTAGAAATTGACTTCTAATTATAAAGTGATATCTCAAGGAATCAATTGCTATCTATAATTCCATGAGATCTGGGTAACTGACATTACGGTTTCCTTGTTTTTCTGGGTATGGGAGTCACATACATTCACCTAGTGTTCAATTGTTGCTTACTAAATCAATTAATGTAAAGGAGGAAAGTTTTATTTTATTGATTAATTCCACAAAATTATATTTGGAAAACATAAATCAATCTCTTAAATTATTAATCATTAAGCTCATGACCAGGAAATTAAAAGCTGGCAATAGGATAACATATGTTTATATTAATTATGATTTATTATAGAGAAACTGCCTTATATGGACCGCCTGTGAAATGGCTAACTATAGGCCATTGTAAGTCAAGACACTAAGATATCAGAGGCCACTAATATTATTGACTATATCAAAATTTAAAGTTTCTGTTTTAGGGGAGGGGAACACCATAAATGAATTTAAAAATCAAACTCTAAAAATAAAATTTCCAGTATAAATGGCAGAAAAAGAATAATAGTCTTAATATTCTATATAATCAATAAGAAAAAGGTTACCACACTAATAGGAAAATTAAATATTTACAAGAGACAATATATAAATAGCCAATAAACTTATACAAAGACTTTCACCCTTTATAGTACTCAAAGACTCAGTGAAAATTAAATTCTCAAAAATTAAAATAAAACCATTGGCTTGTGAGAATGTGATGAATGGCATTCTCATATACTGCTGGGAAGAATGTAAACTTTCCAGAAAGTGGTTTTGCCATATATATCAAATTTTTTATTTGTATTTATCTTTTGAGCCAAGGACTTTCCTTCACTGGGTTTATCCCAAGTAGATAATCAGACAATGGGCAGAAATATGGGTGCATATATTTGATTATTATGGGAAAAAAAACTTGGGAGTACTTAAATGTCTGTCATTAGAAGAGCATTTAAAATTCTTATGGTGCCTCTATATAATTCTGTCATCATTAAGAGTATTCATATAGTGTTGTACTTATGATGGAGAGTTATTCACACCATGTTAATTATGCAATAACAACAATAATAACAACAAGCTACTAAATGTGTCCATTGTGACTGCAGTTTATATTTTTACATCCACATCTGTGTGTGTATATGTATACACACATGTACAAACAGAGAGACAGCGAATAGGTCCTGAGGGACAAACATCAGATTATTAGCTGTAGTCCTGGGTTGTCAAGAAAATGCTGAAGAGCAGTTGATGTTGATAGTATACCAGATAATCTTTGCTTTCTCTTTTAACTTGTCTTTATGAAATTATTTTTTGCAATCAGCATACATTATAGCATGCATACATGTTCTTGTTTTTAAAAAGAGCTTAAACTACCAAAGCTTTACTTCTTTCCCTTTTATTTTCCGTATTCAGTATTATTTCTTTTTTTTCCTTGCTTACTTAACTTTTTAAAAATGCATAACATTATAAAATTGTCTGCTTTATTTTGAACAGATGCATTTCATGTTTCTGTGATTAGGCAGTGTTCATTTTCCCTAAAGCAAAAGGTTCTATTGCAAATGAAGATTGAATTATTACTTGAGGATGAGTATGTTATTATTCATGAGTTATATAAGTCATAAAAAAACTTCCAGGATGACAACAATAGGACCTAGAAAACAAGGACTTGAGCTAAGGGGATTTACTCTGCTATTTATGATACTGTCCAGCCAATAGATGGCGGAACTTGGGGGGATGAATGCAGTCTAAGAAAAATCATCATGTTTCTATTCTATGATGACAAACCCACAGAATCCATCAACAATTCACACTTCCGGTTTAAAGTGTTCTTTTCAGCCTTTTCTAGGATGTCCAGACATATGCCTAAGGTAAACCGTATCAGGTTCAGCAACCCACATTTGAAAGTGGACATTTTCTTTTCTTTTCTTTTCTTTTTTTTTTTTTCATATGAAGTCTCGCTCTGTCTCCCAGGCTGGAGTGCAGTGGCTCTCTCTTGGCTCACTGCAACCTCCACCTTCCGGGTTCAAGCACTTCTTCTGCCTCAGCCTCCCAAGTAACTGGGACTACAGGCACCTGCCACTATACCTGGCTAATTTTTATATTTTCAGTAGAGACAGGGTTTCACCATATTGGCCAGGCTGGTCTCAAACTCCTGACCTTGTGATCCGCCCGCCTCAGCCTCCCAAAGTGCTGAGATTACAGGTGTGAGCCACTGCACCTGGCCGAAAGTGGACATTTTCAAATCAGAATGTTTTCAAAGGAAAATAACCTGGATTTTCCAGGACCAGAGGTCTCTGAAAAGGAAAAGATTCAGAGTGGATGTAATAGCTGCCTTCAAATCGAAAGGACTGACAAGATAAAGAAGAGATTTGTCTTGTCTGCATAACTCCTAGGTGGCAAGCCAAAGATCATTGGTTTTCGTTCTAGGGAGAACTTTTACTAAATAAATGCAATCACTTTCTAAATGTAGAAGCATCTAGAAATGGAAGGGATAAGATGTGGAAGGGCAGAGGCTCATGTCTTCCTCAGTTTTATACTACCAACTCTCATCTCAGCACAAGTCCTGGCAGACAGATGGCACTTTTAAGTTTTATGGAATGAATTGAGAGGTAATAGGTTACATCCTCATTGAATGTATTTCAAGTTTAGCAATATGGTTTTTGTTGAATGATATTTTGTGAAGTTGTTTAAAGCACTAGAAGGGAAATTGAGCTAGATGATCTATGAGTATGTGACCATCAAACTCAGATTTTTCTAGGATTTTTTAGGACTTTCAATTTAAACTATTTTGTCCTATTCTTCCCATGAGTGTACTTCCAAATGTTCTTCTCATTAGTAAAGTCCAAAATTTATGATCAGCCAGTCTTACTCTGGGTAGCAATTACTAATAGAATGATAAAGTGGATTCCTTCCTATGGGCTGGAAATCATGTAGGATTGCTTACAGTTGGAGTGGATAAATGCAGTTGTTTATAACTAAAAGGTCACTTATAAATATGTAGCTGGTTCTATCTTGGTGAATGCAGACTTACATGTTAATAAATATACTCAAATGTATTTAAGTCAACCAAAACTCTAGGGTGATATATTTTTATTGATTACATTTTTTAAAAAGAAGATTTTGATCAGGTTTGTAATATTGGGCCAGATACCAGTATGTTTTCATAGTATTCAAGTTGGCTTATGAGGCCACTCTTTAGGCATGGTGAGTGTTTACCAGATGGCTGAGAATATACAAGCAGGTATGCATTGTGCAGGAAAGCATGCAAGTGAAGAGTCAATTAAGAAAGAATAAACATGCTTAGCAAGAGGCCACCTGATTGGTATTCTAACTACAGAATTGAGAAACTTTCTATGCAAATTACACAGCTGCACCAGCACCATTGACATCATAGGAGTGAAGAGGGAAAAAAAAAACAACAAAATTCTCTGTGGCAAAACAGCTCTGTGCTCGATCAAGGAAATAATATAAGTGTAGATATGGAAGAGGGAAGTTGCTTTTTCTTCTGTTTGCCTGAACCAGTAATGACCATAGCAGAAGTGACAAGTTTAACTGATGAATATGGAGTTTCATAGCTCCCAGAACACTCATTTTGGACTAAGAAGAATTTAGATGGGAGATGCAACCTACTTTCCCTTATTCCAAGATTTGCATGCCTGGTACATACAGTGTTGTATAAATGTGCCAAGATTTGTGAGGAGGTACGCGCACACACACACACACACACACACGTACACACATGCACACTCTAAACAGCAGGAGTACCTAAGAGGTAGATATTCATTATTCAAGGAATTTCTTTCTTCCTTTATTCAATACGTGGTAACTTAAAGAATAAAACACTTTATATAAAAAGATATTTTAGATGGGGAAAAACACACAATATAAGCTAACCAATGAACCCAGCTATTTTGCTTCATTTAAAGAGTAGGTTTGAATGATCTTTTCTTCAATAATAAGCAAAATACATTAAATAAATATAACATACTAATATTCATGATCTGGAACAACTCATGTTTCTTCTATGAAGACTTTTCTGGCTTCTGTAGACTATGCTGAATCCTCTCTCCTGTAGACCACCATTGATTTGAACTAAGACACTGTACTGTTTGGTATCAGTTTATTTGTGATCTGACTTTAGCTAGGCTGCCTTCAAGTCTGCCTCTGTGCTCTCTTTCTCTCTCTCTCTCTCTCTCTCTCTCTCTCTCTCTCTCTCTGTGTGTGTGTCATACACACACACACACACACACACACACACACACACACACGCATACACATAAACTCCTCTCGCTGCCTCCTACACACAGTTGAATCCTAGGAGGTTGAGGGAAACGATGACTCTTTACTATATATCTTTAGCTTTCTTTAAAAGCTCAACACAAAATTATACATAGGGCATCACACAGAGACCTGGATAGTCTCCTAAGTTTTCTGTTAGTTTTAAAAATATGTGCAAAGGCCAGGCACAGTGGCTCACGCCTGTAATTCCAGCACTTTGGGAGACCGAGGTGGGCAGATAGAACACTTGAGGCCAAGAGTTCGAGACCAGCCTGGCCAACATGGTGAAACCCCATCTCTACTAAAAATATTTTTTAAAAAATAATTAGCGGGGTGTGGTGGCAGGCACCTGTAATGCCAGCTACTCAGGAGGCTGAGGCAGGAGAATCACCTCAACCTAGGAGGTGAAAGTTGCAGTGAGCCAAGATCACGCCACTGCACTCCAGCCTTGGATGACAGAATGAAACACTGTATTAATATATATAGATAGATAGATAGGTAGATAGATAGATAGATATAGATATATGCTAAAATTCTTCCAAATATTCTAGAACTTCATTTCTTTCCCCTTGAAAGTGGAGCTGGGCTTAGTGCCTTTCTTCTAGTGAATAGAATGTGGCAGAAATGGCAGAATACCACTTCCAAGATAAGGCTATAAAAAAACCTGTGGCTTCCCTCTTGGTTCCTCTGTTGATTTCTCTTGAGTCACTTGCACTGGTGATGCCTGTTGCTATGCTGTAAGGACACTCAGCTGTATCCGGAGAGGCCCACAAGGCGATGCCTGAGTGAGCTTGGAAGTAGATCCTCCTCCAGTTGATCCTGGAGATGAATGTAGTCCTGGTTGACAGCTTGAGTGAAACATCATGAAAGACCCTGAGCAAATAGTACATAGCTAAACCGCGCTCAGATTCCTGACCCACAGAATTGTGTATTTCTAAAAATTTGCTCTTTTAAGTGGCCATGTTTGGGGTAATTTGTTACATAGCAATAGATAACTAATACATTTTCCATTCACAACAGCAGCTGAAATCTCTCTTTGTCTCATATTTCAAACATCCCCAAAATACTCACTTCTTTTTTTTCTGATTTTCTCCTCCCGTGTGCCTGGCTGCTCCTTGCACAACCCACTCTAGCTTCCTGTTATTGGTCTTCAATCTCAGAAAAGCCCCCTTGGATTTCTGGTTAAAAAAAAAAAAACAAAAACAGTTCTCCCCCATGAATGGCTTGTCTCCTTAACTATTGTACATAATAGATCCTTAGTAAATATCTGTTCATAATGTAAGCAAACTTCAAATTCTTTTGACTTGCACAAACAAAATTTATTCATTTGAAAAATATTTTCTTAACAATTGAGGCTAAAGTTATGGAGAAATGTGCTTTCGTGTTTGAAGCTAAGCCTTTTGTGAGCAAGACTCGCTACTGATAACTCTAAAACCTTATCTGGTACCTGACCGAGACAGACATTGGACTCCATGTACTCTCTGGCTTCCAGAACAGGAAGAAGCATACATTTTAATTTCACATGAGCAAAGCTGCTGTACAGTTAAAGCTCAGCAAGCACATTCCTCATAGGAACAATTCTAGGTTCAAGATCAGTGTCTTCTAAACGCATTTCCAGGTCATTGTCTGTTGGCACCTGATTATGAAGGTATTTATTGAACAAATGCAGTGTGCCTACCAACATTCTAAATACTCTGGAGACTTTCTGTCAAGTCAGTAAGTTCCTGTACAAACATTACTTTTACTGCTGTTGTGTGACACTGGCTAGCAAAACAAACATAGTTTCAAAATGCTAAGAGCTTAGCAAAAGAAGCAGACATTAATCTAGTAAACCCACAGGCATATAATTAAAAACCAAGTACTATAAAGGAAAAATGGAGGTTACTCTATAGAGGTGTATTAAAGAGCTTCTTATAATCTAGGGATCAGTGGATCAAGGAAGGTTCCCTGAGTTAATTACCTTTGTGTAGAGATCTAGGCATAACGTGTTAACTAGGCAAATGTGTAGGGCAAAGGGAAGTGGAGTTAGTTGAGCATTTACTGTATGCTAGGCACTAAGCACTTAAAATAGTACACACACGTACTCTTCACAACAACCATAGAGGGTGAACACCTCTTTAACCATATTTTAAAAACATGAAACCTATGGCTAATGTTCACAGGCTTAACTACTGTCCCATACTTCCTCTGCAAAGACTTTGAGTTAATCCTGAAACATATCAAAGAAAACCTCGAATGAAAGAGACTGTTTAGATCATTTTTCAGTTAAGCAGCATGTGATGTTGATTACCTACAGAAGTTTCAACGGTTAAAACCCAAACAAAATAGAACATATTTTAACTTATTACCTTCCAAACATGCACTCTAAAAGGATAAAGAATGGTATAAATAATAGTGTAACAAAGTTATTTTACATTATTCTTTTACAACCCTTTCCATTTCTTTATACTTTCTACCCAAGAGCCCCATGATGCCCTTTTTATATAATAAATACTGCTAACCAAATATATATGGTTCAGTTCATGTGCAGTTTATGAAAACGAACAACACTGCACCGTGTATTAAATTACAGCCAAAATTAAGAAAAGAAAAGGGAACACAGTTCATTATTCTTTGTTAAATAATGAATGTTTTTGAAATAATATGATCATTAAATGCAAATGAGCATAACTCTGATATAAATGTAAATTTTTCAAAACTTGAAATGTTCCTTAAGATAAACTCTTTGGCTGAATTCTGAATATTTAATTATTCTGCTTTCACAAAATGGATGCAGTCACCTATTCAATATAATTAGTTATCTAGGGAAAAACAATTATAATTGAACATAGCTGCTTCCCAAATGCATTTTAAATAACATAAACAATCCTATGTTAAATATTTGGCCTACTGCTTGGATATATTTTATTTGCCTCTCCAGACCCCCCTCTCATCTTTCTTTCTTTCTTTTTTTTTTTTTTTTTTTTTTTTTGAGACCAAGGAGTTTCACTCTTGTTGCCCAAGCTGGAGAGCAATGGTGCGATCTTGGCTCACTGCAACTGCCGCCTCCCAGGTTCAAGCAATTCTGCCTCAGCCTCCCAAATAGCTGGGATTACAGGTGTGTGCCACCACATCCAGCTATTTTTTTTTTTTTTTTTCAGTAGAGACAAGGTTTCACCATGTTGGCCAGGCTGATCTCCCAACTCCTGACAGATGATACACCTGCCTTGGTATCCCAAAGTGCTGGGATTACAGGCTTGAGCCATCATGACCAGCCCCCAGACCCCTTTTTCTACCCTACCCTGTGCCTCAGAATGCTGTTATGGGAACCATCCAGAAGCTTCTTGGCTCCCTTGCCTTCTATCTGTGCCAGCTGGGTGCGTGGATGGGAGAAGGTGTGAGGCTGAGGTGGGTTTAGTCCCAGCTCCCTCCCCATTGAATCACTGCATATTGGGTGCGTCCTCCACAGGGCTTAGTTTCTATCTTGTCCATGCAGCTCTTCTCTCTGTATTTTGGAAACTATTCCTTCCTCTTTCCCAATCACATGAGGCATAAGAACAGAGGTAGGGTACTGCACCATCCCCTTGTTAATTTCCCTCAAACGAGCCTGCACCTCTATATAAAGTCATTTTACTAAATCCTCCTCAATTACCCATTTTCACTGTATTATTTTCTCTTAGAACCCTATTGATACCAAGAGTGGCCTCAGGAAACTGACCCTCAAATGAGATTCTAAATTGGGTTGTTCACTGGGCAAGAGTAGGGGTAGGGAGAAGTTGGGATGCAACACTAAGAAACATGACTGAGCATTGACTCTAAGGATATCCAACAGGAGATAATTAAATAGAAAGTTGGGCAGGCCTGAATGTGCTGATGTGGGTGCACTCAGGATTTGGGACTTAAGAATGTGAGTCCAGCACCCAGAAGTGGCATTAAGAGTCTGCTAGGCTAGTTAATGGAAGGCTGAACTCAGAGGTGCTCCACAGTCAATTAGGTTATTGTGGCAGAACTTCCCTGCAAGGATGCAAAGAGAAGAAAAGATTCTGATATTCA